GGCGCTCCCTTATGCCTCAGCACATACTCGGTCCAATAGATCGCCGTATCGAGCGGCTTCATGGGGCGATCGTGAAAACTCGCTGAGATCTCTTTCGCTTTCGCGGCATATTTCGGATTGTTGAGCACTTCGAGAATGTCATTTCTTAATTCGTCACTAGTGAAATCCCTGAAGTTCAAACTCACACCGAAACCCTTTGCCACAGCGCGTGCCACATTCAAATGCTGATCGTAAAATACGGGCATACCCACGATCGGCTTGCCGTGATGCACCACTTCCAGCAGACTGTGCATGCCGCCATGCGTAATAAAGAGTTTCACATTGGGGTGGGCGAGTATATCTGGCTGCGGAAACCATTTGCTGATGTACACATTCCTTGGCTTGCCAGGTAAGTCATCCTTCTCAAATTTCCACAAAACATTTACTGGTAGCTTGGCAAAAGCATTCAAAATCTCGTCCAATTTTCGCTTCGGCAGATAGGCGCTCTTCACATTCGAACCAAGCGAAAAGTAAATCGCGCCGTGCGCAGAGGCGTTAATGAAAGCTTCCATGTCAGCTGGTAATTTTTTTGGTTTGTGATCAATATGCATGCCAGCCACTTCGATAGCGTTCGGCACCAAAGGACGTGCATAGTTAAATGAGTAATGTTGATTCAACAGCAGCAGTGAGAAATCTCGACGTACTTCACTTAAATCCGCGGTGGCATTCGGAAAGTATTTTTCGTACAATCTTTGCTGTTCTGGAATTAGTATCAAATGATTATACAACAACTCTATTGTGTTTATGTATAAGTTGTCCAAACGTTGCCAGAAATTCATGCGATCCAAATGTTTGCCATTCGGTGCTGGCACATATGCTGTCGGCGAAATATTATCCACATATTGGTCGATTACGGCATTACTGCCAAATGTGCAGACGCCAATCATAGGTGCTTTGAAGTGATCGCCCAAGGCGTAGAGTGATTCCAGAAATAAGGCCTCGATAATAATGAGATCAAAATGCTCATTGGAGTGCAGCAGTTGATGAAATTCTTCATTTTGGAATGCTGCCAAGGCGCCCAACGTAACATAATCACCTAAAAAGCGCAGTTCATTCAATTTACTCTTCTCCACGTCAATTGCTTCGATAATCATGTCTAAAATCGATATATGAAATAGGTAACAGCATATTTAAAATAGACGTAACTTAAATCGCTAACCTTCATGTTCGTCCTCTTCTTTTCTCAAAACTATATCACGAAAACTTTTAAGTGGCGTTTTTTGTGGAAACATCGAAACGGTAGTGACTTCATGTCCACGCGCCGCCAATGTTTTCAAATATGCCTGCACGCATATGTATTGTGAGGGTCCCGAAAAGGGAAATACCGCAAGTATTTTCGCGCTTTTCGTGCATTCAATAGCAAAAACTACTATAAGCACAAAGGCAAGTGTGACCAACTTTAATAATCGCATTATTTTGTTCAACTTTGTTGATGCACACGCGACAATAGTTTATACAATACTAATTTAGTTGCAGAGAGTAACTTGTCTTTTATGTAACTTTGTGTATGTACGTAAATAAATATACACTGCTAGTTGAGTGACTAAATAAACAACTATTTTTATCAAGCAATTGTATTTGATAAGCTTAATAAATAAGTATATGCATATGTATTTACATAACAACGTACCGGCCCGCCATCAGAGCAATTTACTACTTTTATTATCTAATACAATGTTTCTATCTGATTTGATGTGCTTGAGAGCGCCTCATCTGGCTGCTAAATTGTACTTCACTGAAGCATACAAAATGATAACAATAATCTAATGATGTTGCCAGGCTGACCTACAACGAAAAACATTTAAGCAACACTTAAGCTATGCTTACTTATCATATCCCAACAAAAAATTTGATTCGTTTTATGACTGTCATGAATAATGTGACCAACCGTATTTCTTACGGAAGAACAGTGCTTCTTCGTACTTCGAAGTAAAGGCAAATTTACTTCTTTGCAATATTTTGTACTTCAGGTCCCGTAGTTCTCCGATCTTCTGGACGATCGTCACATGACCTGGTCGATAAATTCGTTCAAACTATTAAAGTCTCCGGGGACCGATGGCATCATACTTGCGAACTGCGTCAGGACCGGGTACATTCCCAAGGCTTGGAGGGTAGTCAGTGTTGCGTTGATCCCGAAGGCCGGAAGAGCTGCTCTCATGTTTCTCCTAGGGATTTTAGGCCTATCAGTTTGTATTCGTTTTTGCTAAAACCGCTAGAGAGATGGATAGACCTCGTGACTACCTTTCAAGAACTGGTCTTGTTTACCAAGAAGTACAAGATACCTGTTATGGCCCTTCCCTCGAGTTGGGTTGTTCGTCTGCGGCTCTACGACAGGGTCAAGTACTTAGGCTTGGTCCTGGATAGGAAGCTGTCGTGGAAGCCTCACATTGAGGAAAGAGTAAAAAAGGCACCGGTTATCTTGTACTGCTGTAGGGGAGCTAAATGTAAGGTCTTTCGCTCAAAGCAATTCATTAGCTCTATGGAACCAGATTTAAGCTTATCTCGTTTCACGGAGCCGTTGTCTGGTGGAACCCGCTAGAGAAAGCTAGACTTGTAAATTTGGAATTAGTGGAGCATTAGTAACCACACCTATATTGGCGATTAACGTCATGTTGAGCACAGCGCCTGAGGATATTGCTGACAGCCGATGGGAAACCGGGTGGTAACACTTTGGAGTTCTGGGGGCGCTTTGACTTCGCCCTGAACACATAGATTACAGCGTCTCCGAAATGTCTCCCAGAAGCTCCTTCTCTACCTATATTCCCTCAAGAGAGGACTGGGTAGGGCGGGGTTACTAAGACTTCCGGACTTCTGCATTGTCTTTCAGGTGGAAATAGCTGCCATCAAGGAAGCGGTAGACTCACTGCTAAAAGGTGTGTTGGTGCATTCGAAATCGGTAAAGAAATATCTGACTTCTTTATCATCCATCGTTACAGAAAAAAAAAGAGGAAAAGAAGACTTTTCCCCGCTGCAGAAATTATTTTTATCCCCATCGTTACCCCTTAAAGGTGTCGAATACCACGTTACCTCTTAAGAGCTAGAGATGGGGGTTCAGGTGACAGGCCATTGTGCGATTAATCTTCACTCGGTAAGACTAAGAATTTTAACTGATTCCTTTTGTATCAGCTGCCAAGAGGAAGATGAAGTGGAATCATATCCACACTTTCTTTTAGACTGTCCAACCTTTGCGAGGTTAAAATGGCTGCATTTTGGCTCGCTCTACTGAGCTAACACTGAGCTCTCAGAGATCGAAATTGGCCCCATTCAAAATTTCGTAATCGGTTCGCGGCCTTAACCTAATCCAACCTAACCTGCACTTCTTTGAGCTATAAAATAGTTGGTCACATTAGCCATGACCCGCAGTGTACGAGTGATTAGAGCTGCACACTACCACACGTTTGGACCCATTATCGATTTTTGGTTCAACCAATATCTAAAGAGATGTTGTTTTCTAAACGGGAAACCACCTTGATAGCCAATGGTAATTATCGCAATGTATTTCTGTCATGAAAAAGCTTCTCATAATCAAATCATGTGACATTCGAAGGCGGCGCGGCGTAAAGCTCTCTAGGTCGCTTCATTTATTTGACAATAGGGTTCGGCATATATGTATAAGAAAGTGCCAACGCATATGTTCTCAGAGCCTAAATATACTTATGTATAATTTACGATATATCCCGTTTATAGGAACTTTTGAACCAAACAAAAAACTCCAGGTACTCGCGATATCACACCGATACAAATACATAGAGTGCAGCTCAAAGTGGAACTAGTTATTCAACTAAGTTTGGCTAGATAACCGTGGTTGTCACTCCGCAAAGTCCAGTTAGGTCTATTGTGATGCTACTTTAGCGTTTCCAGTTTCCAGTTTCCCAGTCTCCAGCTATTTTACAGTGGCGTGCGCTTTATCCAGTCGGTACTGTCTGGAATTCTAATAGAAAACCTGTTATCAGGGCAGAATATTGGGCTAGTGTAATGTAGTTCACGTAAAGTTGCTAGAATTGTTCCCAGAAATTGATATATACACCAAAAGTTCGGTATAGTTTTTACGGCCTTACTGGGGCCGACAGTCGAGTTGACATGAAGGCACTTGATTTCATCACGACTGATTCGGAAAAGGCAACGCCGCAAATGCTTCAATGTGATGGCAGAGTAGTTCGCTTTGCAGCTGGTATTGGTACCTGGACATTGTAATATACTTTGCACACTTTCGCGCATTGCTTAAACCGAATATATCGAAAGCTCACTCTCTTTCTGCTGTAACCCAAAGTTCCGCTCGGATTGTTTACCACATCTCGCACATGGGTTACTCACATTGCCGAAGGTGCACGACCGCAGCCGCAGCAGAACAACCATATCCCATGGCAGTCCAGAAACCGAGTCTGACAAAATCCCCAGTTTCTTATTGTGCGCCAAGGAATTCCAACGTAAAACATCAATAAAAATTGTGACAACAAAAAGCCGCACACCACAAATAGGTAGGCGGAGAGGCTCTGCCAAGCACTAAGTAAAATGTGTGAAGCGCCAATTTTTTGTATTTGTTTTTATTTTACAAATGATCGCTAACATTAATCACTTTCAAAACAAAACATTTATTCATGCATACTCAAGTATATATGTATTAGATAATCACAGTCACACAGACTGGTTTAAATATCAGCAATAAAATCTCATTAATTTGTATTTGCTATGTATTCATTTAGTAAACATTGTTTTACTGAATGCATCCCAGCCACAAAAAGAACGAGTAATGTTCCTCATTTACTCATTTTTATTGACTTATCTTCGCCAAGAAGAGAGTACTGCTACATTACTCAGCTTTTAGCCAACTCACAGCCGCGTGCCGCACGCGTGACTCATCAATTTCAATGTATTTCAGAAAAAGCCAAATGAAATTCAGAAAAACACAATTTATTTCAGTAAAGCTCAAATAAATTTTTTGATATGATGAATATTGAAGAATAGAAAAATTATTTAAATAAGCGAAATAAAAATACTGCTTAAAAATTTTTTAAAATACAAATAATTACAAAATACTCTTGTAAAAATGTATTTAAATACAAAATTAAAATGAGGCACGCCTTTTTGTTATTACATTTTAAAAAATTGTCGCAGAGCACGTTTTTATGACCTAACGAATTTATCCAGGGTAGTCTTGCTTTGTAGCTTACAAAAAAAATTTTCTCAATACAAATAAGGCGCGTCACCAAAGACAAAAAATATTTTAAGCTAAATAAAAATAGAATTCTACTAATATTATAAATATGAAAGTTTATGAGTCAGTGAGTGAGTATGTTTGTTGCTCTTTCACGCTAAAACGGTTAAACGAATTTCATTGAAATTTCGCATTAAATTTGGTATTAAGATATAGGTTATTTTTTCGAAGAGAGCTGCTAAAGTTTCTCAAAAGTTAAAATCAATTAATAAGCTAAATGAAATATCACAACAATGTGGGTGCCGAACCAAAGGGGCTATATACGATTTATTTCGAAAATATTTTTTAAGAATGTTGCCACCTGCTCAAAAACTTAAAATCATAAAACGAAATATTTTAGTATGGATATGAAATAAGTGAGTTTTATTAGACCTTTATTTCAAAGAGATATTTAAATGTGAATGGCATGTGTTAAGAAATCCAAAATTAATTTAAGTAACATGTTGAACCAAATATTTTGATATTTTTAAAGGGATCTGTTACCTGTTTAGACATCTAAAATCAATTTGGTATCAAAATATTTTATATGAGTATTAAAGGAGAGAGGCTTACGTGGGGTGCCACCACTTTAGGAATTTAAAATCCAATTCAATCCAAAACCAATTTTTAAAAGAGGTTGCCAGCCGTTTAGAAATCCAAAATCAATTTGGTAACAATTAAGGATGTATCTATTTATTTCGAAAATATTTTTTGGCGAGGGTTCTTATAAATGTGAATGTTTGTAGGTGAGTGTGTGTTACACTTTCTTTGGACGAAATTTGGCATACAGATAGCTTATGACCTGGATTAATATACATATATAACATCTTTTAAAAAGGGTTACCACCTGCTTAACAAGCTAAATTATAAGTTCCACGATATTTAACAATACAGATGCCAGACGAACGACAATAAAATAGCCTTTTAGGAAAATATTTTAAAGAGTATTGCCACCTATTCAAAAAGTTAAATTAAATTTTATTAATAAGTTAAATGAGGTATTGCGATACGGCTTGCCAATGAATAAGGTTTAAGAGAGCGTTATTTTCAAAAAATTTTAATGCAAATTGCCACCTGTTTAAAAAGCAAATTCCATTTTTTTCATAAAAAAATTATGCCAATGTGGATGGACTCCCAACGAAAAGGGCGTAAGAAAGCTTTGTTATGAAAATATTTTTAAAGAGCGTTGCCAACTGTTTAAAAGTAAGAGGGTTGCTAGCTCTTCAAATTTTAACTTTAATTTAATAAAATATTACAATATGAATCTTTAACGAAAGATGTTTAAAAAAATTTTCTTGCGATAACCATTTCGAAGAAAGTGTCACCTGTTTAAAAAATCAAATTTTCAGTAAATATTTGCAATTTAGAATAGCTTTCGGCTGACAGCAAAAAATTGTCCACCTTTTCGGGATTTTAGTATATTTACTCTGTTAAAACTGTATATGAAAAGAAAAGTGTTTGTATATACTCATATATTCAGGCACTTGAATTAAAATTAAATCTTAAAAAATAGTCGAAAGTGTTTAATATGCGGTTGTCTTATCGTTATGATAATCGCTATATATTTGTATCATTGTGAAGAGCACTTGTCGGCAAAGTTTGCAGTGGCGCTTCGCGTGTCGTAGTTTAAGAAGCACTTATTCGAAATGGCGGCCGCTGTGGTGTAGTGGTAAGCAGTGCGCGCTTCCACTCCGCAATACCTGGGTTCAAGCCCTAGTCAACATCGCAAAAAAATATGGAAAAAGGTTTTTTCTTAACAGCGGTCGTCCCTCGGCAGGCAATGGCAAACCTCCGAGTATATTTCTGCCATGAAAAACAGCTTCTCATAAAAATACAATCGCCGTTCGGAGTCGGCGTAAAACTGTAGGTCCCTCCGCTTTGTGTGACAACATCAAGGCGCACGCCACAAATCGGAGGAGAAGCTCGGCCAAACACTAACATATGTGTAAGCGCCAATCTATTATTCGAAATAATAACTCTGAACATTGTTTGCATAAAGTGACGCCACTGAGTACAAACGCTCAAAAGCGCTTTAAATAACTAAATTACACTTATTTAATCAAACTTGTTTGCGTTGAATTAATAATTATTTAGCTTTGCATCAGTGTATGTTACTCGTTGATTGACTAGTTGATTAATCAAAATACACACCCATGCATGCATATTTACCTGTGTACTCGAATGCATGTACGTTGGTATTTTTATCTGTTTACTTTATTTATGTAGTTACACATACATGTATGCACATACATATTGCTTATACATATGTATGCTATGAAATCGAAAGTACAATTTAAAAGAGCAAAGAATTACTATAAGTTCAGCCTTATCAACCTTATATACCCGGCGCATGTATTGAGCGGTCAAAAAATTGACTATTATTGTCTTTGCGCTTTGCACTGTCAGGCCACTAGAATTAAGCTATTGATCTGGTTAGTAAAAAGGCTAGGTGCGATCAGCTATGCCGTATTGATACATATTGATTTACGGCTTGACTCAGAAAATCTATAAAATTTTAAAGAAAATTCGATTTGTTTTTTGACAATTTGTTCCTGCATCGATTATTTTTAATTCGATTCGAATCGATTCAAAAATCGATTTTTATTACTTCGATCGAGCATCTTTAGTGACAACCGAAAATACACACTCTAAAAAGTTTCAAATGCATATTTTATTTTGAAAATTTGATTTTTTTTAATCTCCCATCAATAGATGTCAATTTTTTTTTAAGCTTTAAAAATGTTTTCTTTATAAGGTAGGTATTAAAAAATATTAATAACTCTTTAAATAATTTTAAGTTTTCAGATAGGTGGCAACTAACTGTTGTTTTAAGATTTTAGAAAGGTGGCAGCTCCCTTCCAAATTTTTTTTAACTTTAAAAATGTTTTCTTTATAAGGTAGGTATTTTAAAAAATATTAATAATTCTCTAAATAATTTTAAAATTTCAGATAGGTGGCAACCCTATCAATCTATATACAAGTTTTAGCCTATATCCTATTATAATTTATAAGCTATAATCAGGGTTTGAAAAACTGTCAGCATAGCAGCAACAGCAGTACTATTTTTGCTTTTGCTTCGCTTTGAAATTTTGATTTTCATTCAAATTCGATTTGCTTTCGCTGTGACTTTGAAAATTTTATTTTGCTTTTTTGTCGGCAGTTTATTGAAAACAATTTAGTAAATTGAATTTCCTGCTTTTGATTTGCTGTGATAGCACTTTTCTTGTGCTGTGATTTGCTTGAATGTCCTGTGCACATGAAGCTTTGCAGCATGGTGTATTATCGCTGACTCGCCAGGAGTGAGTACACACAAAATTTGCAGTATCAATTCCTTTGCCTTGACCTTTCGCTAGCGATTATCTGGTGTGAAATTGGTGATTACCAATCGCTAGCGAATTGCCTAACAATCGGTAATGCATCGCCGTAGTTAGCTTATGGTCGCCTCTTGTCACCAGTACAGTAGTGCATGCATACATATTTCTGCCAATTTGATGTTTCACGGTCAAGTGATAGTCGAATTGCTGTTGCTTTGCTGCCGCTGCGCTGTCGTTGTGCTTTCACATATTGTTTTTTATTTAACTGTCTGGTTGCTTTCGAAATTTTACAGCAAAACGACAGCCAAAGCATTTGCTTTTTTCCGACTTGCTGTTGCTTTGCTTTCGATATCATACATGCCGAAGTCAAAGCACAGCAAAAGTAAATCAAATAAAAAAATTAAAGCATTTTCAAACCCTGGCTATAATACTGCAAAGTTTTATAAAAATCGGTTTGGTTGTTTTCACGTGAAAGCATAACAAACATATCTACAAATTTTCGCATTTACATATATCGAGCCCTAAGCGCAAATATATCGTAAGCGAAATTTTTTTCAAGATTTTCTTTTTGTTGCAGAAATGCATCTATGTAGATGCTCTAGGAATATTTCGGCATCAAATTTTATTTTTTTTTTTTGGAAAAATGCCACTTACGTTATTTTGGCGGTTAGGGCTCGATGTATTAATATGGTGATACCCTGGTGGACAAGTGCGGTTGGGTGTGAAAATAATCAATTGCAGCTCAGCTACTCTTTGCAGTAAACAAAAAACAATTGATGTTTTAAGTGCATAGCTAACTTTTGGGAGTAAGCATCAGTGAGTGGGAACATTAGAAAGAGTATATAAAAAACTGCATTCAAATAATGATAACACAAATTCACAAATTAGTTGTTTGCAATCGTCAGTCTTTAGCACTTGATATTTTATTGAATTTTATGCAAATATTTGTCGTGAAATAAAAGTCAATAAAAGTTTTGCTTAACGAAATGCAATACTTACCACAATTGACAGTATTATTACTATTTTCTTTAATCGCGTGCCGCATTGAGAGTTCGAATGGTGCTAAAATTTTAGCAATATTTCCCTTTACGGGTCGTTCGCAATATATCTGTGGAGAGAATTATCTAAAAGCACTAGCTGCAAGGGGTCATGACGTTATTGTGATCTCGGCATATCCGCAAAAGAAATCCATACAGAATTTTACGGATGTTTCACTTATATACGAAAATGATCTCTTTGAAGGTGAGTAGTATGTATGTATATAAGATTGTATTCTATCTTATCTGAGAGTGCCTAGAAGACATAGTGGCCCAACTTGCTGCTTTAAGCGCTAGATATAGTGCTATGTGAAAATTAAAGTGCAAAAAATAAGGGTTTAGTGCCTTGCCTTTTTGGTGTTTTATTTCTGAACTCAAATGCAATGTATGTACATTACGGTGTTCCCAAAAAAGTAGAGTCGGAATTTTAACGCTCTCCCCCCTAGGCTTGCTCTATATCAAAAAAAACATACCCCGATTTTTTTTTTATTTTGAAATCAAAAAATATTTGTATATGGGAAAAAAGAACTTTTCATAGAAATGGTAGAGAATTCTTAAAAATCAGTATTTTTCGATCGGAAAACTATGGTTCTCTTCAGGAGAGTTTCAATACCATATCCAATTGTTTATTTAGCCATTTTTATTATAGATTTTTTATTTATGCCCCCTTTGCATTTTCTGGGGTGCTTGGCGGACCTATAAACTATAGTTACAATGAAAAAATGGTTCAATTAACAATTGGGTATTGTGGAAAGTCTCCTGAAGAGAACCTGAGTCTTCCGAGCGAAAAATATAGATTTTAAAGAATTCTATACCATTTCTACGAAAAGTTGTTTTTTCCCCATAAAAAATACATGGAAATCTTTGAGCGCTTTGGGCGACCTCTAAATATTTTTTATTCCAAAATAAAAAAAATAAGGGGTTTTTCGATATAGATCAATCCTAGCGGATAACTAAAAATATAAATAATATTCGGACTTTACATTTCCGCTACCCCCCCTTCCCCCCTCGCCCACCACATGCATTTTTTTTGACCACCCTAATGCATCCAAGCAAATAAGTTCAGAAAAAAGGAAATTTGTATTGAATTCGTCAAAATGTTAACCAATGCGGGCATATCCAGACTTCCCAGCAATTTTGAAATACATATTTAGTAAAATAAAAACGATCTCTCCTGAAAACGTACACTCCCATGCACTTGAATAGGGACAATGCTTTCTCGTGTTTTTTGTTGGGTTAATTTTCCTGTATTTAATTTCCATTATTTTAAAATTGAAACACAATTTACAAAAACAGCAAAAACATATTTGCTTTTAATTTCATTTAATTTTTGGGAAAATATTTTTTTTTTAATGTTTGTTTCTTTTCTTAATATAACTTTTTTTTGATTTTAAGATTTTATTTTAGAAAGTAACATTTTTTTACATTAGACTTTTACAAACGTATTTTATCTTTTTATTTTGAATTGAAATTTTTTCTTCTTAAAACTTTTTTATTAGATTTTATAGTTCTAAAAAGGAAAAAGACTTCTTAAAGTTCATTGAATTTTTAGGAGCTTACTTTATTTTTTCCTTTAATTATTTTTTTTAAATTACATTTTCTTTTTATTTTTAGATTTTTAATTAAAGAGAAAAGTACTTTTCTAGCTTCATGTATACAACTTTTTCTTTTGTTTAACTTCATTTTCGTTAAATTTTGTGATTTTGTTGTGATGTTGTTTTAAAAAGAATATTTTTGTTTTTAAATTAAATTTTCTTTTATATTTTAGGTGTTATTTAAAAAAAAATCTATATATTTTGATTTCCTTTTAATTTTTAATATTTTTTTTTAAATATATTTTTGGTTCTATAATTTTTTTTTTATTAAATTTCGTTTTTAGTTTTTAGTTTTTGTTGTTTGACAAAGAAAAATAAATATTTTTTCTATATAGTTTCTAAAATCTTTTTGCTAAAGGCAAACAGAATAACCCTAAGTCCTTCACGTTAGCCTAGCTTTCAATTAGTCTTTCGAAAGACAGTAAAGATCTTTCAAGATTTCTGCCGGAACTGACAGTTGTCTTACGAAAGACAGTATAGAGCTTTCAAGATAGTTTCTTGAACTGACAGTTGTCTTACGAAAGGCTGTGGTGAGTTGAAGAGGGGTTCCAGAATTGCCCAGTACTTCTTTTTGTTAATTATTCTTTAATAGTGCTTACTATTGGTTATTGATTTAGAATAAATAAACAAATAAATAAATAAAGAAAGTTGGCAACACTGCCAGAAGAATCGTACATGGTTATGAGCGCTCTCCATAAAACTGATCTCTTCACGTAGTGTTAGTTCATTGCATTTGCTGCTTTTAAAGCTTCTAAAGTATTCCTGATCAAAGTATACAAATTTTGTAATAAGTACAATACTATGCTTTCATCTATTTCCAGAATACATCGTTGATTCCGAAGTACTGACACTCAGCAAATGGGAAGAACTTAATTTTGCCATTGATTACCTTACACCATCTACACGAAAAGTTCTAGAACATCCAGTGTTGCAAAAATGGCTTAAGAATGGTGTGACCTTCGATTTACTTATTGTTGAAGTTCTGCAGCAGGAAGCGCTCTACGCACTGGCATACCATTTCAAGGCTTTGCTTATTGGCGTTTCCAGCTTCGGCACCGATATGCGTATCGACGAATTGGTTGGCAACACCTCACCACTCTCCTATATACCCTCAACAACTAGCCATTTAACAGATCAAATGAATTTTCGCGAGCGTTTAGAAAATTTCTACATTCACGTTCTGGAGTGGATACATAATCGTTTCGTTATGTTGCCCGCGCAATATGAGCTGTACAAAAAATACGTACCCACCCCAACGGCGCCATTTATGGAAATGCGTAAGAACTTCTCACTTGTGTTGCTGAATCAACATTTCTCAATGAGCCTACCACGTCCTTATGTGCCGAATGCTATCGAAGTTGGCGGCTGGCACATAGATCACAAGCCAAGTAAATTACCAGCCGATATGGAACGATTTATAAATGCCGCCCCAAAGGGGGTAATCTACTTCTCGTTAGGCACAAATATACGCAGTAGAAATTTGTCTGCAAAAAGGCGCGCTATACTAATGGAAGTTTTCGCCTCATTAAAGCAATACAACATACTTTGGAAATTCGAAGATCCAAAATTACCTGGAAAACCCACGAATGTATTTATCAGTAAATGGTTTCCACAATCTGATATATTGGCGCACCCCAATGTAAAGCTCTTTATTACACATGGTGGACTGCTGAGCACAATTGAGGCTATACATCATGCCAAGCCGGTGGTGGGTATGCCTGTTTTCTATGACCAACATCTGAATGTTGCGCGTTCGCAGCAGAAAGGTTTTGGCGTGAGTGTCAATTTTAGGAGCTTCACTGCTAACCAACTCAAAAGCGCTATAGTAGAGGTGCTGGAAAATCCAAAATATGCTAAACGCGCGAAGGAGATCTCACAGCTGTATCACGATCAACCAGAGACACCAGTGAAGAAGGCAATTTATTGGACAGAGTATGTATTGCGGCATAAGGGCGCACCACATATGCGTGTAGCCGCGCGAAATCTGGATTTTATTGAATATCATAATTTGGATGTCATTGCTGTGCTGTTTGGCGGGCCACTTTTGGCCTTACTGGTTGTTGCGTGGGTGAGCTGCAAGCTATTGAAGGCGATTGTGGGAAGAGGTGATGTACGAAATAAGAAAGAAAAGCAAAGCTAATTAGATATCGAAGTATAGAGTTTGAAACGAATTTCCACAGAAATATATATGTATAAAAGCTACACAAAAATTTTTGTTTTATTATTTGTATAGTAGCCCATCGATGCAGAGGGAACTTCGCGAGGTATCAATTCGGATAAAATGGAACTTGTTCTCTTAACGAGAAGGTAAAAAACACCGCTACTGACTCCGCCTGAACTAAACTGGCGACTCCTAAGCTTTACGAATAAAGCAAATTTCTTATGGGTAGTAGCCTATTTCCATCAAAGGCTTAACTGCAGTCAAGAGCTCAAATAGGTTAGGTTAAGGTTAGGTTAAACGGGCAGCTCTGCAAAGAGTTCACTCTAAGGCTGTGAAGGCGCATTGTAATGCTCATGTAACCCCCAAGCCTGTCCCTACATGTCTTCGAACCGTTTTGATTTTCTGGCGAATCCTAGCAGTCTTTCCAGAAAAGCTTTCCCCAAGATATCCAGGTTCTCGAAGAAATATTCCCTGTGCAGGACACTCGCAAAGGAATTGATGGACGGATTCTAACTCCTCGTCATCCCTGCAGCTTGGACAGAAATCGTTATGCGGGGCTCCGAACCTGGCGGCCATGTGACCAACGTTTGAATTTGAAAGCCATAGTGGACTCCTTGTTCTTCGTCCATTAAGCCGTGGGCAGAGCGATCGCGATACTCTGCAGGTGTGCAGATTTTCGCCACCTAGTCAGTCTCACGACTTCTGAAGACAGAAATCGCAAGGGAAGTTTTACGATCTCGATCGCTTCCCCGAGCCCCAACCCAGATCACTTCCGACCACATTCGCCCGCTTAATCATTTACCGGGGCACCACAATGCCCCGGGACCCAGTAAAGATTGATTATGTGTTGCTGTGGAGCTTGTAAGGATCTTCCGCATTCATTAACGCATATCGAGTTAGTCGTTGCCGACCCTAAGGCTTTGATAGCCGCCTGACCGTCAACAACGAAGGCAAGTTTGGATGGAGCTAGGTCAATCATGCCCACCAACCTTGCCGCCATATGGATTGCATATATCTCAGCCTGAAAAACACTGCACTGATCTGGGAGTCTATAGGACTCTCTAAGAGATAACTCCTGAGAGTAGACACCAGATCCTGTTGCGATATCCATTTTGGAGCCGTCCGTGAAGATGGGTAGTTCGTCATCGCTGTGAGCAATATTAAATTCCCAGTCACTTCTGTCAGAAAAATGGATATCGAAATTTCGATTGAAGTAAATTTCCGTGACCTGATAGTCACAGTTGTCGTACTCCACCCCACTCTCTCGAGGATTGTAGCGTGACCCTTGCAAGTTGTTTGCGGCCTGTTTGTTAGACGCACTGAGTCGTAGAGCGCTTTTAGCTGCGATAGTTTTAACATATAGATCTATGGGTTAAATGTCCAGGAGGGTCTCTAGCGCCGCCTGGGGCGTTGAATAAATCGCACCCGTTGTGCATAGGCTTGTTTGCATCTTTTGCAAGTTGAGTAGATGAGATTTGGTGTCAACCGCCTGCCACCATGCCAGCACGCCATATGTGAGAATAGGTATAACTACCGCCGTATAAATCCAATGTATTATCTGCGGTCGCAGGCCCGTCTTTTCCAATCGCTCAAATAAGTTCCTAGAACTTTAACATGGGGTGGAATTACCCCCTTTAAATGTTATTTTGGATCTTCCGACACTAGATCTAGTGAGTCAGTAGATGGGATCCCTTGCTGCACTCGGGTAAAGAGAGACAGGAAATGGGAATCGAAATATCTGGGTCCCTCCTGCACTCCTCCTGCAAAAATATAGAAGACTGTTGTGTTGAAAGTCTGGTTCCGGATAGAAAACTCGTCGTGAAAATCCCAAGCAGGGAGGAATGGGTAGAAAAATACTATACTCCACTCGGCAGTATAGGAACTTTCACAGATGGCTCAAAAATGAAGGGTAAGGTGGGAAGGGGCTCTTGTTTCGCAGCCGTTAATTTCGGCTACCGGACTACGGTGGTGTCTTCCAGGCTATGGTCTCAGATATAATGGAGGCTATAAACGAACTTCGTACTGATTTGAAAGGTAAAGGGGTGTTCATCTTTAGTGACAGCCAGATAGCAATTAAAGCTTGGAGTTCACAATTAAATCAACAATTGTGCTGGACTGCCACCGATCTCTGCAAGAGATGACTAAGCACAAAGTTTGAACTTCATTTGGGTTCCCGGTCATATGCTCTTAGAGGGTTACTGTATGGCGGACGAACTGGCGAGGGTGGGGGGGGGGGGTAAGACCAAGCAGATTCTTTCGGGCCAAGAACGCATTGGTATGCCCTTCGCCACTTGCAAGCTGATTTTAAGAGAATGTATCTATGTTCGCGAGAGTGAGAGATGGATGCAAGCCACGGTCTGTCGAATTTCTTGGCAAACCTGACCTAGGTGGGATCGAAAGAGATCTTGAAGCTTATTCTCTTTGAAGAGGGAAGATATATCTCACAAGATTGGTGCTATAATTTATTTTGGGTACCCTGTCTTAGTGCTAGCTTAAAAGGGAACACGAAAACCTTATAATGTGCGCCATGTAATCTGTGTGGGTGTTCTGCATGCGTTATTTTGCCTAAGTGTGCTAGTGGTGTGCCCACCCGCAGCTACTTATTCAACCTAACCTCTAACACTTAAATTATTTCTAATTTTTCTTGTTTCTTAAACTTTCTGTTATACATATACTATATATATATAAAAGATCTATAAACATATATATATGTACACATGCGCTTCGGAAAATAGCAAATTCATTTGTTTTAATTAAGTTCTTGATGTTATTCAACATTGCGTTTTTATGTGCCTACCAAATTCGCATACTCATCTGACCGCTCGACCGAATACAATTAATTTTATGCAACACTGGCTATTTGTTTTTTGTGTATACTATACATATGTATGTAGGTATGTGTGTATTTATGCCCATACAAAAGCTTGTCATCAATGAAAATCCAGTGCAATTTCGTGTGACAAAAATTAGTGTAAAAAGACGAAGAAAAGCAAGCAAAAAAAATCTGCAAATAAAATGCCGATAATGAAACAAAACAAAATAAATTACAAAAGACGATTGTTAATCTGGGCAACAAATTACTCAACTAAGGGCCGTTTTCTCATGTAACCTTTAATTTAAAGCTCACTTTATACTTAAAGGTCGGATTAAAAATAAAGCTATGTCTAAAGTTAAGCATTTCTATTATCAGTTTTTGACGTGTGTATGTTTCTTCGTTGTAAACTAAATTAAACCCGTTAATAAAATGCTTTACTTTAGACACAATCATAAATTTTAATGCAACCTTTAAATATAAAGTGAGCCTTAAAGTTACAGGTGGTTACTTGAGAAAAGGGCCCTAAGTATTTCAAAATAAACCAACAAAGGCATGCATTTTCATTCATTATGTATGTATTATATACATTGTACGCATATAGATCGACTATAAATACGTCATTTGACCACTAATTCAGTTTTATCACAAAGCTGTCATTTAACAGTGGATTTTGGCCATTAATTACTAGTAACTCTGATTGTAGTTGATGCCGTAATGTACCCACGCATACACACCCACTAATGCGCGCACATAAATACACACAACGCATCTCAATTAAACCGCATCGCAAATACTAAAACGTTATTGGAGATTATACCGCTTTAAGGTGGGGCTAAAGGAAGCTGAACCCAATCAAAGCGAACTGAGGAGATAATGGCGAACATAATGCCAATTTGTTTACTCAAATACGTGGTTTTGCTACGAGGGAAGTTAAAAAAAAAAATCGCTGAGTGGCGGTTTGGCAGAGCTTATCTAATACCACCGACGCTGATTCAACGCTAATTATGTAATACTTGTGCTTTAGTCAGCTAGGTTCATTAACGCTTGTGATGGCATCATATAAACAAGTAAATTATGCCAAGTTTAAGTTCTTTACTAAGGAACAGATGAAAGATCACTACTGAACAGTTGCTATCGTTTTACTGAGACTATTGTCTAGGAGAAGCAGGATTTTATTGTGGCATATCAAATCATTTCAAACTAGCTATGGAGCTAATTGAAGGGGATCAATGCCCCGGATCACAGTGCTTCACTTCCATATAAAATGTGGGCAAAAATAGAAATATGGACGGATTAAGATGAAAATTCACCTCTTAGCTAAATTCAAAAATGCAATTTGTTTTTGGATAACTTTTTTACTTCCACTGTAAATGCAGTTGAAAATTTGGGTTCTTGTGGCATTTACATAGGTATGTATATATAGTTCGTTCTATTTTAAAAATGGAGGTGTCAAATGACAGAGTTCGGGCTGTAGATGTGCAATAAAGCTTTTTGTTTTTGAAAAGGGTTGCCACCTGTTACAAATTTTATTAAAATTATTGAATAAGTTAAATGAATTAGATATTAAATACAATATGGGTATAAAGGACACGTAGAAGGGTTGCCACATGTTTAAAAAATCAAATTCACTTTAATTAAGGGAATAAGGTAACTGAAATATGAACATCAATATGGGTATCGCACGAAAGAAAAGTGTGACATATTTAGCAATAAAGAAGTGAAGAGAAAAAACATTTAAAAGGAATGTAATCAGAACAAATCGCTGATTGACAATGTATGTATGCATTTGTAATAAAATAACAAATACGATGTCATAGACCTTTGGTTTGACACAAATATTATTCTAATTTAACTAAATTTGACTTTCCAAAGAGGTGGCAACCCTTTTCGTAATATTTGAAAGCTTAAACCTTCTTAAACTTCTTTCGTCTTACTCCCATATGGTGATACCTAGCTATTTTAATTACCTAATTCTTTTAATTCAAATGGAATTTGATTTTTTGAACAGGTGGCAACCCTCTACATGTAGTTAAGAAATAAACCCGTTTCATACACATTTCGATTGATACCCATCTCTTAATAGTTCTTTTAACTTATCAAACAATTTAAATTTAATTTT